GTTTTCACTACCCGGAGATTCGCGATAAGTGTCTGGACTTGGACGCTATCGCCGAGGCCATCCACACCAAAGCCGGCACCACTGTCCCCAACAAAACTACACAAGCACGCGCATTCCACTCTCCTCTCATCACATTGCTAACCGACCAACTACAAGCCCACTCCCCCGCCGTTGCCGAAGGCTCCGCCATCCGAGCGCTCAAGGCCACCTCTGATGATCTTGCCCGAGCACGAGAGAAACTCCAGGCACATGGACTGGAGCTCACGCCCAAGAAGGACACGAGCCGTCCCAGCGCTCCCTCCAACCCCGCACCCCCTCCCCCACCACACCAACCACCGGCGCTCCCGGACGTGCTTCAACCGTCCTACCCCACCCTCAAGGACGACGCCCCAGAAGCATGGACCGCACCATCCATCCAACAATGGATGAAGTCCTTCGAGCCTAAAGTCCAAGAAGCGGCTCAGGAAATCTTGCGTTTACTCCAGACCAGCAAAGTTTCTACAGACCAGCTTAAAGAAGCCGCCACCCGATACGGCCTCCCCTTGATTCGAGTGAACAAACTCTCGATCAAGAGCCTCCAACACATTGTGAGCGTGGGGGCTGCCATCGCGTGCTGACTAGCCCTGAACAGCCAAAGCCAGCCGCATACAACCACACTCCACCAACTCTTCCGTCTCCACCAAGCACTCTCTACTCTCATCCACTTCAGCCAATACATCGAGCGTGCAGAGGCCCTCTTTGCTGTGGGCCTCATACACATCACACTTCTCTTTTGCTACCCCTCATCCACCCAACGCTCCCAGCAATGGCGCCAACGACTTCAACACCTCCACATCCAACCTCACACTTATCATTACCACAATTTTCTCTCCTCCAACGCAGTCTATGTCAAACTCCACTTCAACACTACCACCCCCCAACGATGCTACCACCAACATGGCCACTTTTACATCGGCTCCACTGGCATCGGCATCCCGCACAGGGAACACAACCGTCGTGCAAAACTCAAACAATTGCAAAACAACATCCCCATTTCAGCGGAGCTCTCCCTATGCTACTGGCATTCTCACAACAACATCCACCACTTCACACCCATTCAACTTTCCTCACATGACACTTACGACCAGGCCTGGATCCAAGAACATTACCTCATTTCCAACTGGATGCCGCCACTCAACTGGCCTTTCATATCCCACCACCTCAAGCTCAAAGCTCAAGGTTGGCAGTTCACCAAGCACCGTGCTCACTTTTACTCCCGTATGGCCACCCACAAGCGACTTTTCCGGAAGCTCCGCAGACGGCAACATGCCATCCACGAACCACATCTCTTCACCTCCACTCGACTGCACTCTCTCACACTCCTCCGCAATCTCACCAAACACACCCGATCCTCTTTTGAAGCAGCCAAGCAACTGCGCAGCGGCAAACACACTGACCTGGAGGTCTACGCCCTCCGAAGAATGGTATCCAACTTGGAGGAACCTGGCCGGAGTAGAGCACTCCATATCATCAATCAAGCCCTCAAGTACCGCAACCTCAGTCCACCCAAGCCAAACATCCCCCTCACCATACCTTTCCTAGCTCACGATCAGTTTCCCAGACACTGCGAGCAGTGGCTCAAAAGCACAATCCAGCAACACAAACACCTGGCTATCCCGCTCCACCTCCCTACTCACCGTCTGCAGGAAGCGGCCCACAAGACTCTCCGGGCCCATTTGCACAATCACCGCACCTGGGAAGACACCCTGCACAACCCTCCGGCCTCCACTGATTTGCCATGCGCTTGCGATCACCTGCAAACCATTCTACTTGATCCCACTACACCCACAATCGACAACCATTACATCCTCACTCTTGAACAACTTGCACTACCACAACACCTCCGCATCTTCTTGGCAGCCAATATGAACAGCACTTTTTACCCCAGCAAAGCCAGATATTTCCTCACCTTCCAAACAGCTTTCACCAAATGGCTGCGTATTCAAGGCCTACCACCCTCACTCACACAACACTTGGAGCCATTCCTCCAGCACCAATGGAAGCTCCACACTGACCATTTGAAACAACAACCCCGCTTCACAGCCCGCCTTCTCCGGCAACTCCAGTCATTTCTGGGCGACCAAGTCGTCCTCCACCATGCTGACCACGAACTACAACAGCTACGCATTTTCTGTCCCCGCCAATACTTCGCCGGGGCGCTCGCCACTTGGCAGTCACCAGAACTCTTTGCACCTACGCAAACACTCCAACCGTCCAACATCCACGAATACCTGACACATACCATCCCCCCCAGCCTTCGCACACGTTACAAATGGGGCTTCAGGAAAGATTTTACGATCCCATACGGCATCGTTCACCTCAAGGAGAAGAAACAGTGGAGGAAAGGCCGCACCATCATCTCGTACTTTCAGTCCCTCAGTGGCAATCTTCTCCGCACCGCCAGCCGAGCCCTAGACATTATCCTGCAACACCTCCTCCCCCAGCATCCAGGTCAACTATCAATTCCACAATTGTGGTCCCACTTTCACTGCTACCTCACTGACACACCACCCGACATCCCCCTCCATGCCACCAATGACGATCTTGTTGGCTTCTTCAACTCAGTTCCACAGCACCGCCTCATCGACGCCGTTCACTCCCTTGTTCAGCAATGACAACGCCTGAACGACACCCATACTCTGACCGTTGATACTCGAGCCACTGGCAACCCTTTCCATCATTCCCACATTGGCAGGCACCACCGACGCCACCCTACACAGCGTACCATCCACACCGCAGACATCACGACCATTGTGGCCTACGTGCTTGACACCTGCATTTTCCGGGCGTGCAACAACACTTACAAGCAAATCCGGGGGGCGGGATTGGCTCCCAGCTCTCCCCTGCCCTTTGCAACGTTGCCATCACCCTCATTGAGCATTCCTGGCACCAACTCCACAACAATCTCCTTCAACACACTGCCCTCCACTTCACTTACTACCGCTATGTCGACAACCGTTTCATCGTCCACAATGAACACTTCCTGTCACATCACGCCATCCAGACCCTCATCCACAACAACTTTTTCGGCGATCCCGTCGAATTGGAGACGGTGGAAGACTTCCACCTCCTCGGTTTCAACATTGACCTCCAGCAACGTACCATCACCTACGTACAACCCACCCAACCCTGGAAAATCAGGGACCACACCAGCGCCGGTAGCCAGCGCTTGGCTCTGTCCGGCTTAGCTTCAAGACTTCACTACATCTACACCTACACTTTTCCACCTCACAATGCCACCGCTGCGGCTGAAGCTTTGGTCAACCTCTACGCCCAAAAAGGGCATAACCTGCAAGCGTGCAGGCGGTTTTTGAGAAAAAGATCCGCGTTTTCCACCGCTCGCTCTGTGCGCCGATTACGGCGTTTTGTGTGTGTCACACCCTGGCTCTAAGGGTTTCCACCTGTTTTACTTTTCCACCACCACCCAGATTTTCTATCCAAAGCAGGGGGCTCACGGGTCTGTTCCTGGCGTGAGCCAACGAAGCTCCAGGTTCAGACTAGGATATCGAAAGAGGACGCTCTTTCGACGCACCTGCAACCTGAACTTTTGACCACGCTGTCTAATTTGCTTTGTTTGATTCCATGGTTCTTCATGCTACCTACCCCAAAAAACAGGTTTCCCGCCGCTGTGCAGCCGCTTCACCTTGCACTTGCTGTGAAACATTGATTAAACAATACTGTTTTGCGGACTTATGCGCCTTTCCGTTCCCTCACCTTCCTTCCCATCGTGGCAATTGAGTTAACTGAAAACCCAAGTTCGAAGTGTGTGTGTGTGTGTGTCAAACCCCGTTTACAGGGGCACTAGACCTATCTTCTTTACCTACTTCTTGTACAGTTCCCAGCAGGGGGCACCAGGGGTGCTGATGAGACCGGTGCTAACAAAGACGCTCATCAGTCACCTGTGATACAGTTGGAGACGTCCAGCTGCGTACCTGCCAATTTTTCAAGCTTGAAGTTAAACTATACCGTTTAGGCGGGCTCATTCACTTTTTCCGTTCCTCGCAGGGCCATTTTACAGGTTGAGCGCTCTAGACTGGTATTGCAGTAGCTAACTCTAAAGTGTTAATGCTCACCGCGCATCTCTGAACTGCAGCTCCGCGGAGCACTCATCTTAAGTGTGTGTGTGTGTGTTGTTGGTGGTTGGTAGTAGTTGGTGGTGGTTGGTAGTAGTTGGTGGTGGTTGGTGGTTGGCGGATGGGTGGTGGTTGGTTGGTGGTGGTTGGTTGGTGGTTGGTTGGTGGTTGGTGGTTGGTGGTTGGTGATTGGTGGTGGTTGGTTTGTGTGTATTGTGAGTGATGCTCTTGTGTGTGTGAGTGATGGAAGGAGGACGGGAGGCGGAGGAGGAAGACCGAGCGGATACAGCACTAAAACAAAAAAACCGCACATCAATGTGGTGAAAAAACAAAAAAACAACCAACAGTGTGAATAAATTGCTTAGTCTGGTGTTTGCTTCAAGTGCTTGAGTTCCAGTTTGAGTTTGGTGTTGACTCACCCGCTGCTTTTTGGTGGGTTGTGGGCCCAAAGCAGGAGACAATCCTGGGAAGCCAGACATGTACCATCTAGGCTCCACACACTCTAGGGGCCAGGGCCTAGGAGCCTATCAGGGCGTAGGGTGTCTAGAGTCTAGGGCCTAGGGACCAAAATTGCCAGCTAGCTAGGGCTAGGGTGGGCTGGAACCTGCGTTTTCCCTCAGAAAAAAAAGAACAATCCAGACTCAAATCCTGACTCAAATCCTCTGTTGCTGAGTCCAGATTTGTTTTTTCCTCTGTTCAACCTTCTGCTATTTGAGTCTCAGTTGAGTGTGTTTTTGTGTTTGGTTTTGAGTTCTGGTTTTGGGCTGAGTCTAGGTTTGCTTTTTGTGTTTGTTTTTTTGAGTATTTGTTCTCTTTTGATTTTTTCATCTCAAACCTCTTCTGTGTGTTCGTTAGGTTTCTTGTACCGCAACAATGGATTACATCCGCCTTTGTGCCGTGGGCCCATCTGGATCAATCTGGCGCCAAAGCTCGTGAATATCGAGGAATATTCGGAGCTGCTGCATCAGCTCCTCCCAAGAAGAACACAACTTGGGACAACAAGGAGTTATGGCAATGGATTCCTTGTTGAACTCATTACAACTAGGTCCTCATTGTGGTCAAACATGGTGTCCATTCCCTTTTTACCCCGGTATAGCTGCAAGTTCTGCATCATCTCCGTACCTAACGCGCATCAACCAGCCGCAGGGATGCCGTCACGCTGTCACTCGGTTGGTCAACCTTCAAAATGACTATATATCTAAAGTCTACAGCACGATACAACACCCGTTGAGCGTCACGGAGCAAAGAATAAAGCTGGCAAGTGAGCGCTGAAGCTCCAAGTTACGCAAGTCGTCTTGAAGCTCGTCGATGATTGAAGGCTTCAGCTCAGGTTGGACTGATACATTTGGGCAAATTGCTTGGAAATGAAGTGTCCTGCCAGGTGCGCTACAAAGCCGGCATGAGATTGCAGGCTGCAGAACCCATAGATGTAAGATGATGAAAGCAAAACTGAGCTCAAAAATGAATCAGATTGTCTTTTCAGGAGGGCCTCTCTTCATCTTGAGCATGGAGGAACCTTTCCCAGGCTGGCTCATTTGCACTCTCATCATCATCCAAGTCCTCAACTCACTCAGTTGCAGCAAATCTTTGCGGTATGCCGCAACCTCTGACAAAAGCGAAAGCTGGCTGCAGGCATCAAAACAGGTTCTATTTTTTGCGGCAAGGGCACGTAGGCAATGCACGCTGGGTGGTGGTTTTGCCGGTTAGCCCACACATTCTTGTCATTGAAAACCACCTGGCGCACCAGCATCTATTGGTATCGGATGCTCGAGATTGCTGTGAAACCTCACCGTGGGTGGCATTAAGGTGCTCAAAGGCAGGCACCCCAACATGTCCTGCAAAATATTGTGTTCCTAATAAGGTACATTCTATATACTTGGGTGGCATTGCTGAGATGCTGGGCTTGTTGTGGACGCTGGTGAGGCTGCAGATCTATGGGCATTGGATATGTGCGCTACATAGTATGCTTTTGCGCCGGTGTGTCAGCGTTGCGGCTACGCCAACATGCAGCATATTGTTGGGGGCGAAGCTGCTTGCATTGCAGGCCAGATGATGCAAGTCTGAAAACATAGTTGGAGTTTTCTAGTATTCCGTGCCTAGTCTCCTAATGCACAACAAAGATCAACAATGCACTTCACAAATGGATCTGAGCCACCTTGGGTGTTCGGTTCATGTGGCGGGTCTTTACTGCAAGCTTCTCAATTCAAGCCACTGACACGACAAAAACAATGACACAGATACTTTGGAAATCATGGAAGAAATCAGGGATAACATGAACAAAGGCAAGTGGAAACACACCACGCGAACCCCGCAGCTGTGTGGTGACAGTCCAAGCACGCATGCAGCATGAGAGCACGGTGTGAACCAAAACAAACGGAAGTGCTGGGGGTTGCCCAACCTCTTTCATGACATAAGATAGCCGGCACATGGCTACAGGAGGCGTAAACACCAAGGGATCATCGTAATTACATCCTAAGAATACTGCAGTGCAATGCCAACAAATCTTAAACTATGCCACCTGGCCAAGTAAGAATCGGGAGCCATCAAGAAAGGAGACGTGAAATCGCAAAGGAGACAAGTGGAAGGCATAGGCAAACAAGCAGAATTAAAAAGTAAATATACTTTAGAGGGAGGGGACGAAAGCCAGCTGTCAAGAAAACGCGGCCCTTCTTTCACGCTGGTTTCGCACTGATAAGAACAGATACTGTTCTCTGCTTTACATGTGTGCGTGTCATCTAGTGCAGGGGCCATGCTAAGTTTTCACACCCCGCCTTAGAACTTGGCGTAGTTAGCCATGTTCTACTTTTCAAACTTAAAATTCCAAATTCTCAACCGTCGCCTAGGTCTCTACCGGCTTCTTCTTCTTCTTGGTTCATCTCTCCGGGAGACACAATCCGCAATGCCGTCGAGCTTTCACCTGGATTGTACTCGAATTCACTGCTCGAAGAAATCATCTGTGCTTCATTCCAGGTCTCAAAATCACTCATTTCTGAACCACGGGAACGGAGTCGGGGAATCGACTGTGGCTCAGATTCTGCTTCTTCATTCTCTCCAGCATTGCGTGCAACATGTTGGTCATCATGCATGGCGCTTGTTGGTCTTGTTTCACGAACAACTTCTGTACCATGACCTGTGTGCTCATCGTCATGGAAAAAGGTATCAGACCTTCCGCTCTCCTCAAACTTCATGAAAACATATGATGCAGCCATGTATGCATGTGGATCTTGCTTCTGGCATAGCAACAACAGATCTTGGAGATTGTCGTAAGTGTGCCTAATCTTCCGAATGTCTCGATGATAGGCTGGATTCTGCATCTGTTGTAGCTCTTGCAAATGTTCTGCTACAGCTGTACAAATGAGCGTCAGATCTGACTCAAGGCCAAACGACACGCACCTCATCTGGAATGCCATCTAAGTTCCACTTGTACATTGTGCACTCTGATCCTGGGATCATTACACTCACAGGTCTATCTGGCGACCTGTCTGTGCGCTCTCTTCTCACACGCTCAGTCTGGATTCGCAGGGCTTCTGCAATCATGCCGGTCGTTGCCCTGTACCTCATCGAACTCGAAGACTGTGCAGGTCTTGACATTCCTGAAGGTTGCGCATGTTCTTCACCTTCTTGATCAATTGCATCTTGCTCATGATCATCTTCTGGGTTCACCATCTCATGATGCGCCTCTTCTCGAATCCTCCTCCTTCGGGGTTCTGCCTCTGTGTCTTCTTCTTGTTCCTCATAGGTGTTCCATCGACTTGATCCACCTTTCTGGAAACCTTTTGCCATTGCATGGGACCAGGAGTCACGGTCATCCTCATCATACTCCCATATTGTTTCTTCACCTCCATGCGAAATCGGTCTGGGTGTATCTCCTCTTGTTGCTGTATCTCTCATTGCAAAATACCCATCACCCAAATCGGTCACATCTCTTCCGGCAAAATGGGATCTCTCATCACTCTCTTCATGGGATTCACCACTATCGTCAGGTTGGGAAGTTGCAGTGTTTTCTTCCACAGACCTGACAACACTCCTGCCCCATCGAATGCTGGCACGAAGTCGGTCATATGCTTCTCTGGAATTTGCCAACTGAACCCGCATCACCTGAATGTTGTAAATGAAAACTGCGAGCACAAATGTCAGCACTGCAATCATCACACAGAGGATCAAAATGCTCCTGCTGTTGTTCTTCACTGCTTGCGTCATCCCATCACAGGTGTCATCCGTGTTCTCTTGGCATCCCTTCAACAGTCCTGCTGTTACCATCAACTGCACAATGCGTCGAATGTTCACATGTTGATGGAAATCACCTCCAAAGCTTGCACTGGAAAGACCAATCATCTTGCACAAGTACTCTCGTCTCTCCTTGCTAAGTGCTTTGGTATTCAAATCTGCAGGGTTGTCTCTTGTGGCTATCCTTCCAATCTTAAACCAACCACGTCTCATGGCCTCTTGGCCCCATAGGATTCGCGTGCATAGATGCTTTGCACGTCCAGGACCAAGGCGTTGGAAGAATGCCTGGGCACTTGTGGAATCCAAAAACAACTTCATCTCGATGTTGGAATCTCCACCTAACTGTGGTTTGCATCCAAGCAAGAACTGGAGTGGTTGCTTCACTGCAATCCCTTCGGCCAAAAGTCCAGTTGCTGCTAAAATCTCAGCCTCCATGCTAGACAATGCAACTGAAAGTTGACCTCTGCTGTGGGAATGGACGCAATGCCCATTATGGAAAATCAGGCCCGAACTGGTGCTTCTTCTTGTGCTCTTAGAACTTGCCCAATCCGAGTCACTGAACAACTCAATGTTGTGTGCTTTTGCGGCTTGCTTTGCAGTCTGGATCTAGATGTTTCCAACGATTGAACACTGTATTGTATGCTTCTGCACGTTCAAATCTGAGACTCATGTCGGCAGTGTTCTGGAGATATCCAGTCAACTTCTTTACTGCAGCCATTGCCGTCTTTGTAGGGTTCATCATGTAAGAGGACAAAAGGCGAACAGCATGTTGAATGTCCAACCTCTCCTGGCTGATGTAGAGGCATACTCCCAAAGCGGATCGAAATGTCTGAGCTTCAGGAGCTTCAAGAATTTCTTCCTTGTTCACATTCTTGGAATCGAACAAGTCTAGTGAGGCGTGCGAGGGTACACTTCTTCCCCGCCTGTCTTGCAGCTTGAGCAATGTCACCAGCTTTGGAATGTACTTGGAACTGGTTGCAACTTCCAATCCATCTTCGTCGAAAGAAATCTGTCTCTTCAAGTAAAACAATGTACCTGGCTTCTCCAGTCCAAACGGTCCTTCAATCTTCAACTTCAAGATCTTGCCAAAATGATCGAAGAAAGCTTCATGTGCTTCTTCATTGGCCACCAAAATGATGTCATCAATGTGGACTGACAGAAACTGGTTGCCGCTTTCATGTCGGTACAATGTCCCACCTTGAAAGGAATGGAATTTGAACTCATTGCACAATGTTCCAAAATGCTTGCGCCACTCTAATGCTGCATTGCGTTGTCCTGGCAAACACCGGGTGAGCTTCCAGTGTGTCAACTCTGGCCTTTGCAGGATGTCCCTAATCCATCTCGGCACCTCAATGATCACCAGATCTTTCTGCACCACTTGCAGAAAACGTCACTGACATCCATCACTGAGACCAGTAAATTCATTGTCACTGCCAGGGAGAGCAAAAGCTTCACAAACACCAATGGACTTGTTGGGCTAAAGGTGTCAGCTGTCGATGCTGCACCACTGCGGAATTCGCGAGCAACAAGCCTTGCTCTGCGCACCCAACATCCTTCTCTGAACCTCCAATCAAACACCACACGTGTGTCCAATTTCAATGCTGCTTCCACATCATCTGTTGGTTCAAGGTTTGCAATCACCGATAGGTCATCCAACCTTGCTACTTCATTCAGCATTGCCTGTTGGTCCAGAATCTGAAGTTCCTCAAAACTGACGTTTGGAGCTCCTTTGCCCTCATCATAGAAACCTCTTTGCCTCATCTCGTCTTCACTGAGCGTCTCACCTGATGCGACTGTTTCCTGATCTTGCCAATCATAGGCTTCCACTTCTTCTTCTCCAGCTTCAAGGTCAGGCTCATCTTCCACATAGAGCTCAACTTCTTCTACCACTTGTCTCACCTGGGGCTCTTGACCTCGGTTCTCCATGCTGGATGAGCTTGATGATGTCCTTGCAGCTTTTGAACTTGGTTCAACAACTGGTGTATCTGGATCAAAGCGGACAAACTTCGCAGGAACATCAGCCTCATCATTTCCTTTCTTCTTTTGGTGTGCGTGATCAAATCGACCACGGTGAGCTGGTGGAAGCTCACTCTCTTCCAACTGTCGCTTTGGGCTTTGCTCAGATTGATCTTCATGCATGGTCTCTGTCACAGGCTCAACCTCATCTGTGGATGCCCCGCCTTGCTCAGCTGTCCTGTGGTCCTCAATGTCAACATCTTCTTCTGGATGTTCTCTTGCATACTTTGCAACTTCATCTGCATCAGGATCGGCTGGTGGCTTGTCCTTTCTGGTCTTTCTACCCTTCTCTGGTGCATCACTCAACAACTCTGGAACTGGACTCTTCAATGGTTGTGCATCCAGCTTGGTGTGCACTCCTCTATTCAAATCCCACGGACCAATGTTTGCACTGCACAAAAGCTCACCATCCCAGTGCTCACCTGTCTTACGAACAGCTTTGCATCTGACAACTTCGTTGCGACCAACAAGAACCAAATCATGATCTTGTCC